AAAGTTCTGGCTTTTGATGATTCTAAGCCGGAAATGACAGAGACTCTTGTACACAGCTACCCCGCATCACAAAGCAATATATATACAGCACAAGTCTTAGGCTGCCAAATAAAATAATATTTAAATGGTCTTTATGTGGGTGTAAGACTGATTTTATGAGTGTCAAAGTTTGTCATCTTAACCATTTCCAAACCTTGCCTATAACCCTGTTACTGCAGTAATCATTCAAAATACCAGCACACCTTGTTCGGCAAATCAATCTCATGAAATTAACTGGCTAATTAGGTTAATTAAGTGAGCTTTGGTGAAATGGCTGAGGTGCCCCTGGCAGCTGAACTAACATTCTTTTGGCCATCAAACAAGATAGCAGTAACTTTTTAAAGAAAAGAATACAAATTTTTTAAATGTTTTGCTGTTTATTAGTCTATTTTCTAATGATAAATTGTATTTCTTTCTTAATAAATATACACTTATTACCCTGATAAATAGCTTTAAACATTTTCTTTGCCTAAGACTTTTGCACAGTACTGTACAAACGTGAAAGTCAGTCGTCCTGAAGGTGTCTGTCATGTAAGGCATGACACGGACAGGTGGGTTCGGGTTTGAGGAATGACTATTCCATTAGGCACTTTTCAAAATACCCCTACGATGACGAATTGTTTTTCGCCAAAAATAACAGGACAAACGGTGGCCGCCACTGAAGGTCTTCAGCATTGTTTGAATCAGGAAGTACTTCAGCTCTGAGGAAGTGTAAAGTGTAAACAAAGGTCCTAAACCTTGGTGAGACTCTGCTAAGTGCCTAAGCGCTGAAGCAAGTCATCAAACTTCCTCGCCAACATACGAAAATACTTATGCTGCTTTACATCATCCATTTCTCACATGGGCAATACAAGCGACTAGAACTGTAACGGTACATATAATTGTTTACCGTTCGGTACGTCATTTTCGTTTTGGTGAACTGAATGGATGGCATGAATGGATACATTTATTGATTTATTGACACGGGTGGAACATAAATTTACAAGAAGATGTTGAACATGGAAAGTGGGCGTGTCCCAACTAGGCAACAGCCGTGGTGCTTAGTGACTCAGGGGTTAGGGTTAGGGCTGGAACAGCTGGTGCCACAAATAAGAAATTATCCATAGTCCAGAGTGTCCCATTTGACAACGCTTTCTGATCGCTGCAACTCCCTAATTAGATTACTAATTAGAGAACTGATTGGCTGAGGAGACCTCACACCTGGGTTTGAACAGCTGACCTAAAGGTTAATCCCAAAAACCTGCATACACACCAGCCCTTTGTGGATAAGACTGCCCACCCCTAAGCTACACCTAAGCCACGTCCTTCAAAGGATGCATTCGAAGACTGAATGCGTTACAGCAGTGCAACAAGGCTGTCCCATTTCGAAGGCTCATTCAAATGCAGTCTGGAAGTACATCCTTCTTTTGCAGAGTCTAATGGATCCTTTGTGACTCGGTGAAAGAAGGACGCATTTCTAAGCTATATGCGAAGGAGCCTTGAAATGGGGCAGCCATGTTGCAACACTGTAATGTGTAAGGTCTTTGCATTCAGCCTTAGAAGGATACAGCCCCTGAATTCAGACACAGCAATGCTCTCCATTGTCCAGGCAAGACACTACTGACCGCAAATACCATGTCCTTCGTTTTCATTATCGCTGTTTCCTGCCCCTTCAGAACAGCTGTTAAATATATACCTCTTTGATTGATGCCATCTTTCTTTTTTATTGCTTTATTGAATGAATAACTTTTTTGTTTTGCAGTCCACAGCTGAGGGAAAAGCAGAAGAGGAATCAGGATGGTTTCTCACACTATCCCCTGTTAGGCATAACTTCATACCCATTCATATTGACACACTATGCATGCAGGCATGTGCAGCAACACTGCTTGTGTAATAACAGTGTGCATGTGAATCGCAAATCTCAAGTATAAACCAACTTTTACGCTGACAATGTGCATGTTGCCCTTCTAAAGCGTGTGTGTTGGGGGTGGTGGATGGAGATGCCCAGCTTTGGGCTCCAGAGGTGCCAGCAGTTTCTGCACGTCCAAGGTTGCCAACTCTCACACAACCGGTGCGACACTCACTCATTCAGACTCTCACTTAAGGTAAATCTATATTATTCCTTTATAAGCCTAAAATTGGCTACATCAAAAGTGCTGGGGTAGTTCGCAAAACCTACAGACTATTTACAAGGTAATAAAAGTGTTATATAACGCAAATGCATGTGCATGTGTGTGCAGACGTGTCTCAAATTGAAAATCTCACTCCAGCCAGTTGACCAAAGTTGGCAACCTGGCACATCTGAGAACGTGGCAGGTGTTTGATGTGGGTAATGTAACAACAGTCGTATGACCAGTAATCCATGTAATGCTGAAACGCGAAGGACAGTGATACTGTGATCCTTTCCAGCTCCCATAAACAAACCCAAGGGCAGCATGACCCAATAACACGCAGGTCACAAGCTGGGCCTGACCTTTAGAAGACTGTCACCCTTGCTTGGTCCTTCAGCTAGAACTAACTGAATTACCACCAGGACCCCTGCCAGGAATGCAGCCACCATCACGGGTTAACATTATTAGCCTCAAACAGTCGCAAATCCATTCTATCCGCACTCGCACCCTAGCTAGCCCACTATGTAAGTGGCTTAGGGAGCTAAATCTCTGTGCCTGGGATCAGAAGTTTGCTGGATCGAGCCCCAGCCTTGGCAGAACATTCACACGTCTGTGGGCCCTTGAGCGAAGCCCTTAACCCCCCAGCTCCAGGGGCTCTGTGTATTGACTGACCCTGTGCTGTGACCCTCAACCTATAGAGAGCAAGATGGGGTAGATGAAAAGATGCACTATATACTGATATACTTGGGCAAATGGCAAATAAAGGATTTATCATTCTGGTGGGGGGACACTGGAAGCTAGATGACACACTGACTGGTGCATTATTATGTGCCCCCAATGAGTGGCATCAGTTGTCTGACTGGAGGAGGGACTGACAGACCTATGGATAGCTGGTATGGTTGCTGGCAGGGGGGCCAGCATGGAAAATGCTACACTCACTTCCTGTCTGCTTCTAACTTAGCCAAGTGGGCTTGTTGGTCAAGGGCTCATTTGCATTGAGTAGGCAAAACATCCTCAATAGATGCTTCTGGAAATATATTTATAAATCACACAGTTCTGACAAGCAGCTGGCAAGTCTCACACTGTCTTTATGATATATCCATGAGAGACGAAGATGACGGTTTGAGTGAGTGTCTGTTTATCCGTGTGGGAGTACTATCATAATACATTCAGTTCGACAAAGGTTTGCTGTTACATCCCTTTGAGATGTATTCTATTACCAAGGCTCTCTTTGACAAAACCACTGCATGGCAAAAACATAGACAAGAGTTCTTTGATGAGCTCTGAAAAAAGATGTTTTGGAGCTGTCAGGAGGAAGGGTAACAGAGATTGACTGAGATTACTTCTTTGGGGACAAACACATAAATATGAAATCCCTAAACAAAGTATTTGCTCCCTTTTCTCATAAGTAATGTGAGTTGGGTGTGGAGGGGGGGGGGTGTTTCACCTGACTTGCTCTCGATGCTCTCACCTTATGAAATAGCAGCAGAAGATCAGGCTCAGGATGAAGATGAAGATTCCCGTGCCAAAGATGACCATGTAGATGTTCAGCGGGAGGTCCTGGAAAGTGATGGGAGGCATGGTGCACGATCTATTGGCGGAAATCAGGCCCAGACTGCAGAAACACCCTGAGGTGAGGGAAGAGAACGGTGCCGTCAGTGAGAGCTTCCACAAAAGCTCCCTCACCAGCATGCTGAGGTCAGAGTTCAGGCTCTCCTCCACCACATCATGCTTCCCTTCATTTCCTGTAGGGCCAAATATAAGCTGGCCGCCAGCCGGCCTCCTGGAAAACTATTTACTTTCCACACAAATCATTTCTTTCTGAGATAAAAAGCACATCCCTTTTGTCCTCAGTCCTGGAAATGGCAGACTGCCTATCCGCCAAGTAACTCTGTGACAGATGATGACTGAATCAGACACATAGCAAAGGGCAGAGACACATAATAACCTTGCCTTGATAAAAAACACAGCAGCATCCATTGCAGCTAATAGTGGTCCCACTGATGGTGTTTGAGGACATGCAGTTGTTTCCACATTTGCTGCCTTTTATAGTCTCCAAGTAAGCATGAAGGTCCTGTCCCTTTCGCAACAAGTGACTGAGCAGAGATGAAAAATCCACAAGGTGGCTACACATTGTGCTGAAGCCCAGAAAAGCCCAGCTTCAGACAGAGAGAATATCAGACGGAATGAACGTGTCGACAGCAAGCAAGAAAAGCTGGATCCGTTCCTGATACATCATTTAACTTCATTAAGGGGAGCCGCATAACAGGTGCCTTTCAGGGGAAGTTTTCCGGCCCATATGTTACTGAGACCAGATTAAGCTGCAAGGATTCTGTTCATAGCAATTTAACTAGCTTACGATGCTGGTTATTAACAGAAGCGATTCAGGTTGCTGTTTGCTCAAAGGTAACCCAAAGGCCCTTACCAGGACTTACATGTCTGGACACATCACGCTACCAGATACTCCTTATAAATAAATAAATAAAACAATGTCAAATTTACACCTGACCTGCAATAAATAGCTGTTAACTGTATAACTATTTTATCTATTACAGTAGTTGTTTTGATCATAGTGCTAAGAGAGAGACCAGCAAACAGTTCCTTCTGTTGTGTTAAAACAGTAATTTAGAAAATAAAGACAACAAACCAAACTACTGTTCAACATATTCTCATAAATGGGACTCTTCATCCTCTGGAGTACCAATTTCATACTATTCGTACTCTGGAGTACCAATTTCATACTCTTTGTATTCTGGAGTACCAATTTCATACTCATCATACTCTGGATTACCATTTTCTTCCCCCTACGCTCTTACCATGGAGAACAGGTGGGTATGAGCGGATCATGCCGGGATTATCTATCTCCCCCGGAATATCCAATAATAGAACCCCCCTTCAATGAAGTTACCCAACACCTTCCCCTCCCCAACCTCCACTGGAAACTAACTAAAGGTCAGTCGGCCTTGCTAGAGTTGCTCTCGCCTTGACGATCCTCTTACGGACCTGCAAAAAAGCAGCATGATGCACACGCACATGCACACGCACACTCACACACGGGCAAGCTCGCACGCACGACGGTGCCTTGTGAGGAGAAAAGTTGAAGAATAGAGGAATGGCTCGTTGTGTAGACACTGTGTACTCACAAGCCAGTGTGAGGTCAGTTTCATCACTGCCAGGGTGACCTTGAAGTGGATCCAATAAGTGTTTATAACCTCAGTCTGCGATGTCAGCACTATCAGCACAGCCCCTTCTCCCACCCCTACAACACAGATGTTCCACTGGCTTCCTGGCCAACCATGTTCTCCAGAAAGCTTAAACATGCTGCCTTTTGGAATTATTTTCGTCTAACACTGACCAAAGTGCCTAATGAAACAAACAAATAAATGCACTTTAAAATTTAAGGTATATCATATGCGTCGTATAACATTCCATAAATCACTAGAATATATAAAGTGATATCAGGTGATACACTCAAACACACACATGGCGTGTTGTTGTGCCATAGGAGTCCAGGAGAGGTGTGTTTAAACCAAAAAGCCCAAAGCCAACCTGAAGGGTGTTGGTCACTATAATTTTGCATGAGATATACATGTCAGCACACATGAATCTCATCACCAGCTATTAATATCGTCAGCATACCATCTGTAAGACTGCTGCCGGCTTAATGATTGGCCGCAAATGAATTAAAAATTTTCTATTAGCAACCAAACCATACCAGTTTTACAGAGCTCCAAGTAGACTGTTATGTCTCTGTCAGGTCTTAGTCCCTAGGACCAAATACCAGATTTTGCTGTAAGAAATAATTCCAAACAACTCTTGTAGAGTCGTAAGCACACACTCTCCCATTAAGAACACTCAAAAATCAAAGATCAAAAAATACAGGGTAAAGAGAAATGAAATACATGAATAAGCTATAGGGGCAGCATGGTGGTGCAGTTGTTGGCACTGCCGCCTCACGCCTCTATGACCTGGGTTCGAGTCTCTGCCAGGGTTCCATGTGTGTGGAGTTTGCATGTTCTCCCCGTGTCATTGTGGGGCTTCCTCCAGGGTCCCCCCCCCCCTGTTCAAACACATGCTGAGGTTGCCCGTAGGTGTGCATGTGTGAGTGAATGGTGTGTGAGTGTGCCCTGTGATGGGTTGGCGCCCCATCCTGGGTTATTCCCTGCCCTGTGATGGGTTGGTGCCCCATCTTGGGTTGTTCCCTGCCTTATCCCCATAGGCTCCGGACCCCCTGCGACCCAGAATAGGACAAGTGGTTTCAGAAAATGGATGGATGGATGAGCAGTATTATATAAACACTTGCACTCACCAAACAGTGTAGGGGTTATGATGGTGCAGCCCAATGGCCTTAAATGTCACATGATTTATTGTCCACAGTAATTACAGTGTTTTGATAGCAGAGGTAATTTGGTCTGGCCAAGACCTGGAGTCTGCCCGTGTGGCTAATAACACGATACGCATGTAGCCTGGCAACCGCCACGATTTATAAAGTGTATCACCTATTTAAAGGCGCATATCGCACTGCTGCTCATACACTCATGAAAAGGGAGATTTAATTAAATAAATGCTCATTTGACTGATCATAAAAGCAGATACTTAGCAGTGCAACAGATGACAATAACTTGATATTTCTGAAATGTAAATGTATCTCTGTCATGTGGCTGGACAGTATAATAATATTTATGCTACAACAAGTCAATGAAAATATCTGTGCTATGATCCTGACATAGTTAACACACATACATGCACACACACACACACACACACACACACACACACACACACGATCAGAGCTTGAAGGTGGTACTGAACTGGGAGACACATAATAAAAGCTCATCATGAATGGACTTTAAAACACGGCTTCTGAGTTCTCAGGTCAGAGATGAAAATTGCCAAGCTGATCTTCAAACACTTCAAAGGACCGTCATTACAAACCCAAAAAGGCAAGTAGGGGCTGGTCTCCCTTATCATAAAAGGATTTAAATAGCATCAGTCATTATGAGTTCATATTCCACGGTGAGCATCCCGTCACAATGAAAGCGTAACTCCCGGCCATTCACCGCGGAGACGTCCATCCATTGTGCGCTTGTTAACTGTCCTATTCTCAAGGTTCACCAACTGTGCTGCACAATGGCAGCCTGGGGAAGGGAACAACAGCATTCACAGACTCTGTGAGCTTAAACCTTTTAACCATTCATTCATTCTTCTTCTACACTGCTTTAATGGGCACAAGGCTGGGAATAACCCTTAACAGGACGCTCACCCATCGCAGGGCACACACCCCATTCACACACATATTCACACCTATCAGCAATTTGATAACTCCAATTCATACGGTGTGTTTCTGGATTGTTGGGCGGGGGGGGGAGAACCCAAAAGAAACTCCATGAAGGCATGAGGATAACATGCAAACGCCGCTCATGAAGAACCGGGAGCAGTGAATCGAAACCTATCAAAGACTATCTGGAAGGGATTTTCGATTGGCTGAGGAATACTACCTTAGCTCCATTAACCTGACCTCAAAAGGTTTAAAAACCTTAATGCCAACCATAGTACCTGCTATCCACACACAACAGAGTCAGCATTATAGTGAGTGATACCAAACTTGATCTGCAAACTATCCAGACTAGGATGTCTGAAAAGCCTGGCTGCTCAGGCATGTTCAAAACTGAGAAGTGATTAAAGCACAAGCAAGACCAAGGGGCCCTTTCTTAAAGCCCCCTCCCCACCCCCAAAGAATCACATTTCTATTTAAATCGCAAAGTTATGGGCACATGTGTCACACACTTCTGCAACATGTTTCATGGAAAATATCATTAGCTGACTATCCTTAGAGAGACACTGATATACTGTATGAGTTTTCACTAAATACATACTATTTTATTGCTGATTAGCTTAGGCAAATGCACACAGCTGAATACTTTACTTACACTCTGGTTTCCAAAGAATATAAATTCGGAAAAAGGGATATTAGAAATAGTCTGAGCCTCCAACAAATACCGTGTGGTTAAAATGTTAAATACAGGACATGATGATGGATGGATCATCAGCAGCATCACTGATAATGATCTATAGGCCTATATCACACCAGAAATATGACCAGCATCCATCCATCCACCCCCTATCTGAGTCAGGGAGTCTTTTCCAGGAAGCGCAGGACGCAAGACTGGGATACGCCTTGGACAGGATGCCAATAACTGACCAAATATCTTGGGGTTTTAGCATAGAGAGAAAAACCGCCGGTCTGCAATGTTCTCATGACACCCTCATTCAGAGTCTGCACCCCTTGGGATCTGCATCTTTCAGCTGAGCAGAGTGGGTAAGAGGTCATCACGCAGAGACCAGCCAGGAAGGTAGAAAATGTTCCTGTTCAAATATGATCTTATCCGAGCGACCATTGTTAAATAACTAAAACCCAATAATTCAACAGGATCTAAAAGCTGACATGACTTACAGTGCCTAGTCTTGGAGGACGGCAGGAAGCAGCATACTTGATAACTGATATCTCCTTTTACTTCCTTTTCATACTACATTATACTATTTGGTTTACAAGAGTATTAAACAAAACCTCAATACTACAGCTCCAACTGATTCGTAAAGCTGAAGTTCCAAGGCAAAATTTGCACCCATTTGCAGAGTAATAAAACTGACATCTAAAACGCAACAAAATTGCAGGCCATTTAAAATTAAAAGGTGCAGGGTGGTGGCACAGTGGTGCAGAGGTTAGTGCCTCACACGTCTGGGACCAGGGTTCAAGTCTCCGCCATGGTTCCATGCGTGTGGAGTTTGCATGTTCTCACTGCATCATCATGGGGTTTCCTCTGGGTACTCCAGTTTTAAAATGGAGTTCCCAAATTGCCCGTAAGTGTGTCCCATGATGGGTTGGTGCCCCATCCTGGGTTGTTCCGTACATTGTGCCCATTGGCTCCAGACCCCCCCCCCGTGACTCTCTACAGTACAAGCAGTTACAGAAAATGGATGGAGGTACAGGGATTATTTAACCATTTTGTGTTGTGATTCAATTAAGATGAAAAAAATGAATGAGAGACACGATTAGAGAAAGCTTCCTGTGCACAAATACACACAGAACGAATGGGTGGGTAAGTGTCTTTTCAGCCTCCCCAGCAGATGAGCAAGAATCCTGCTGGTTGCAGAGGAATCAAAGCAGGGGACTTAAGTGACGCGGAGTGACATCATTAGCAGACGGCTTCAAGGTTTGTGGGGTGTTATGGTGCATCAGAAAGGCTCAGAAGGAAAGGAAGGAGACAGAATACTGAGCTAAAGACAACAGCAAAAAAAAAAAAAAAAACTTAGCTACGATGTCGGCAAGAAGCTTTTTCAAAAATCCCCTGCAGCAGCTGCCTTTGACTGTAGCCATGTTTAAACATTCTGTTAGCAGAACGGCACCACAACTCAATAATTAATGAAACAAGACGGAGTCTGAAGTGCTAATTTAAATTCAAGGTTAAAAAGTTTTAATAACAAGAGAAGCTCCAGAAGACTTCCTAGCCATTTCGCTAACAGCCCATGCATGCTAGGCTTGTTAGCCACACAGCTAACAGCCCAGGCAAGTCAGGGCATGTTGGCTCTTCAGCTAACAGCCTATGTCAGACCAGTTGTATGGGTCTTGTGCTTGGCTCTGTATCTCTGCTCTGTATCTCTGCCCTATACTGCTAGACCTTTAAAGGGTCTCCTCTTACAGCGAGGATCTATGGCTGAACAGCGCATGGTCCTACAGGCCCAGGAGCATAGAGCTTCATAACTGCCATCCACTTTTCCAACACATAAGACACCACAGGTTTTTTAAACACATCAGCTGACTTCCTTACAGGTTAATTTCCGGCCATATTTAAAGACACCAGAACTGAATTATGAGCTAAAATATCACAAACACAACCGAATACATGGTGCTTAGTGTTACCTAAAAACATAATAAAAGTTTTTGCATAATAAAGGTCATAAACGAGCCACAAACGGAATAGGTGCAGATTCACACTTATTTTGGATCTTTTCCGAATCCCCTTTTCGCTTGTTTTATTTGAATTATCGGAGAGGAGCACGAACAAGACGAAAAGCAGTACGCTTTAACATTAATTTCTAATTAAAATGGACAAAGTAAACAGCTGTTAAGCTGAAGGAAACATCAGAACTAAAGAAAATTGTGCACTGTGTGTGTAAATATACACATGCATACAACTCTATACATTGTAATGTTTTATTCATTTTAATTAAATGTTTGTCATTACCTTGCATGCTGAACTAGTGTTGGACAAAACAAGCCATTTGATAAAAATCTTTGATACCTACACGTCATGTCTGTTCGTTTAGCACTTAAAGTTGAATGATATGTGAATGATCTTATATGTGAGTTAGGATCTTCCACTATATTAGCCCAGTGTAGTAATGAGAGCCAATTATCAGCTAAAAGGGCTTAAAAAACAAACAAACAAAAAAACAAAATTGTTTGTCCTAACACTCCATTCCAACAAACCATTCTAAGTTAATGGCACAAACATACAAACTATCACCTCTCTAGTGAAACCCTCTTTTAATAATAACCTAAATGTGAAAATCTGGCCAGTGTCCATTGTATGGAGATCATATACGTACACTTTCTGGGGTTGGAATACATAACAAGAAAAATAGTGAAACTAGAAAACTGACAAAACATTTCAATGCATCATTGTGTAAATGTATTACAGCATGCATGTACAGCTGAGCGATACATACGATACGATACAGAAAAAATATATACATATGTGGATATACAGATGTTGGAGGACAAGAATCCAACAAATGAGACAGTTAAGATAAATCTTGGTTGTCTATTTAATTCATGTTAAATGAGTTAAAGCAGTAACGTCAGCTCTGATGAACTGCCCTAACACACATCTGTAAGTAAGACTAAACGAGGCCTAGTAATAATAACCGAAGAATGCTCACCGTTACACCACTGGGACGGGTGCATCAATAAGACGGGGGCGCTTCTTATGTGCAAAAGGTCTGTGTTTATCAACAAAGAAACAATGTAGACAGTCCGCCGTGTCCTTCATGTGAAGCTACAACATCAAAGTCAGCTACTCACGTCCGATCCATCGGTGTTTCGGAAGCTCCTCAACAAAAATGACCACAAAAATTCTCTAAACACCTTTCACTTGCCCTACGCATATCGACAGTCCACAAGATAAAGAAAAGTTATTAGTCCCGAAGTGATAACGAACCTTTAATAAGACCCTTCCGCATGTTTTGGAAAACAGCGCTCGTCAGACGTCCTTCAAAACGGTTTATTTTACTTCTCAAAAGTGAAAAATGTACATGATCATGCTGACCCGTCGCTCCACTACAACAATGCTCATTAAATAATTGTCCTAGCAACAGAAGAAAGGGCAGTGTTGGTGGGGGGAATCCCTATTGCCGTCTCATCTCGGCCCCGCCCCCGCCAGCATGATGGACACGGCCTCAAACCAATCACGTTACCTCACCTCCTTCCAAAGTTTGCCTGGATCAGATGACGCATAGATTCGGTCCGCCCCCAAATATTAACGGTTCGCTATTACTTAAATTGTACCGAGCTCCTACCATTACATGCTATTTAACAGTTAAAATTCTGTATTGTACCGGCTCTGAAAATGATGTAACAGCCTTAGAAATGTAAAGTGACCTAGAAGCTATATAAGTACTAATAATTCGCATTTAAAAAATGCTTTCCACATTTAAAATTTGTATCTTTTTTCGAAATTATTCCACAACATGTTAACGGTTAAAACTGCTAAAATAAAAACGAGTAAATAAGGTCAAGAACTGCAAACTACAGATAACTGTAAAACACATGAAGAAATTCATAACGAGGACACTGGACTGTTTGGGTCCCTTTCCAGAGAGAGTTGACCGATGTCCTCATGAATTCTGGGTGCTGGCCGCTGTCTGATTTGATGCTTTGCCATAAGCAAGAGTGATTGAAAAGATCAAAAATTGAAAACAACCTTCCTGAAGGCAGGAAAATTTGCAGCAAATAATCAAGGGAAAAGACTATTAACAATTTTATTGGTTGAGGTAATGACGTTCAGACTCCTTCACTATCTGTCCACTTAATGATTCCATTATCAATCAAGATGTAAATCTACTCATTCAAGCAGTACTAAGTGCTTAAGGCAAATTAGCTGCTGAACATTCAATCCAAAACAACAGCAGAACGTACAGCACATTCTCTGTCCCTGGCTCAGAAAAAGTAGCACTGTTCGTATGAGGTGACATTGGCCGTATACACAGGGGTGTAGCTGTAGATGAGAGCTGAGGCTTCATCCTCAGGGCTGGCGAAGTGGTGAGAGCTCTTCCTGGCTGCAAACGGCAAGACTCATCTTCAGTCACATTTGCGCCGATACAGCAGGTGAAAATGGAATCCCAGGTGTACAGCATTGTGTTAGTGATTCTAACTGCAATTGAAATTGTGACTGTGATTCTGCAGATTAGAAGCCTTTGCCTCTGGTCAGAAGGTCAGTGGTTCAAATACTGTTACCAGCAGAGTAATCATTTCACTCTCGGGACCTTAAACAAAAAAAACTGCACCGGGGTGCTGGAAAAAATGCCAGACCTTATGTTCTTACCCTAAGCTTTGCTCTCTTGTCTATATATGTGTGTGTCTTATAGGAGAGCAAGATGGCATATGCAAAAAGTGAAGAAATCCTGTGTACTTGTCCTTGTATAATGATGAATTAAGTACCATGTTAAAATTGGAAGACGACATCATGCATAAAAAGGGGAGGTGCTTTGTGTATATTTACCTTCATTCACAAAAAACTCAGCTAGCAAAGATGACACACGCACTGCATTGGAGGAATGGGGGAACTGCTTCTTCGGGTGCCACTGGAAGCGGTTTACCTCAGGGTGCCACTGCACTCCGTAGAATGGGTACTGCTTTCCTTGTAAAGCACAGGAAAACAATGGAGCACAGATTAATCACTGTGCGGTCCAGCACAGCTGACGTGCATCATTACCTCACCCTTCCCTGTGTCATTCCTGCAGCTGTTTAATGTTTGAAATCCCCAGGAAGGAGTATGAACATTGTTTGGCAAACAGTTACCTTCCATGGTGGAAACAAACACGGCACCATTCTCGGCTACATTTGTGGACAGGATGGAGAAGAATTGTGACAGTTTTTCATCACCTCTGAAGGCCTGTTTGGGTGAATGACACATTACAGCTGTCAAGGTTAAAGCAGTTACAATATTAAACTGACTTATTTTCAAAATGGCCAAATATCCTCACATTTTCCTTTTTAACATCCTACTGACCCCCGATAAATGGTTAGTGCATTTACATCACTTTAATATGCATAATATATGCAGGTTTGCCAACTGTCACGCATCTGCTGTGACACTCACGCTTTCAGACTCTCATGCAAGAAATCTTTCGGCAAATCTATACTATTCCATTATAAACCTAAAATTAGCTACATCAAAAGCAGTGGGGTAGTTTGAAAACTCTACAGACTGTTTACAAGGTAATACAACTAATTATTAAATTTGTGTGCAGACTTGTCTTGAATTGAGAATCTCACGCCAGCCAGCCAAGCAAAGTAGGTAACCCTGCATATGACATACAGTACAGTATCTATTTTATGTGACTGACAGTTCCTATCCCTCCGATTACATAATGAATTACGGCTGGGTGATTGCATATAACCATTAGCTACACACTACACTGATGTCAATTGTAGCACAGAAAGGAAGGAGAAGTGGACTTCTGGTGACGGACACAATGCTGTGCTGTACGACAGCGTGTTTATCTAAAGATCTATAGAGAGGCTAGCGGCTCAAATTCGCCCGAATACAGTCAGTGATGGGCCTCCCCAGGGCTGCATGGAAATGATTGGCTTGATCTCCAGCATTCATCTGACCAAGTCTGCATGAGTGTGATGTGTGAAGGGGAAGAGCTTTGATGGGATATGACTGGCTTTTTGAAAGAGGGGGGGAAAATTGTGGAAAAAAAGTCAAATAAATGAAAAGAATGAGGTCAGTGGGAGCAGCTGCGCAGTCGGCTTCCTTTGGGAGGTCTATAGAGAGCGAGCTGCACTGCATTATAATGCATGTAACACTGGACCAAACTACCTTTTAGTGTTCCAGTATGTGGAATACAAATTTAACATCCTAACAGCCCCCCCCCCCCCCCCCACCCAAGATTGTTATCTCAGAACAGACTCATTGTCTATTTGCCGGAACTTCCTCTCTGCTAGATATGAGCAAATGTGCTAAAAATAGGGTGACTGGCCACTCAAAAATCCAAAATGCCACCCCACTGTTTCTGTCATGATATGGTAGAAATGCAGCAGCCATAGTTACACACAGTCTGAAGCAAACAAATGCAGAAAACCGGCGCGCGGATCAGAGGGCTAAGCCCGTCATAGAAAGGTCGCCGGGTCGAGCCACGCGTCGGCAGAATAGTCACACGTCTATGGGCCCTTGAGCAAGGCCCTTAACCCCCCCGGCTGACCCTGTGCTGTGAGCCCCCCAAGCTTCTCTAAGCTGCATATGTGTTTGTGTGTCTCATGGAGAGCAAGATGGGATATGCAAAGAGAGAATGTCCTCCAGGGATTAATAAAGCATCACTACTTTATCAATATTTTTGCATACACCACCCATACCAGCCTCACTTACACTCTTCATTAGCAACTGGACAAACTTGTCATAGGAATACAAAGTAAAGTGCTATCGTGCAGATGTGAATGCGTTAAGGTGCAATTTTGTTTCAAAAAGTGCACAATTGTCAGACAATCTCTAGTCAAAGTCTGCCTTTCTTAGGGATTCGTGAGAGACACGCACCGTCTCAGTGACTCCATAGTGATGGAAGTTTCCAGTCAGAGGCTCATGGGATATGGCCTTCAGCAGATTGGCTGGGAAATCTTTAAACATGTGGCTGGAATGAGCTTCTGGAAGAACCAGAAAAATTTGGTTACATGGTTTGCTCACAGCTGCACTCAATAGCAAGGGCAGACATACGTCATGCAAAGATGTTAACGACATTAAGGTACGCGAAGGCTGCCATTCACCATGGTAACTCTTTATATTGTATAAGCTTCACAGGAATGGCTTCTTCTTGAACAGATCCCAGTATTACATCAGAAATTCTGCAGAATTTCTGCTTGTGCAGTGCAGTACAAAAACCTTTCTTATAAACTTACAAGCATCCAACATCATTATCATTAAAAAAATGAACTTACTATCCTCTGGTTGACTCTTGCGGACAGTATGCATTTTACAATATGTAAACTTTGAACTTAATTACCAACTCTTGCTACAGACATACTGCCATCTAGTGGCTAAAACTACATGCCACTTCTAATGTAAGAATTCCAAATAACATGGTGAAATACGTGTTTCAATTTCTGCACATATAAGCAAAAAGTTATTTTTTTGAAGCATCAACAACAAAATAATGAAGCATCTCTACCATCTGTTATCTTCATAACCTGAACATGCATCACTTTTGCACTCCCGTTGTCTGAGTACAAGTGCGATGACAATAAAGTGAAATGTATTCTACCGATGCACCACTAGACCAGAAACATACCCTCTGTGAGGTTCAGAGGTAGGGCCAAGTTCTCCGCAGTGGTGTTGCTCAGCAGGTTCTCCCCAGCGACCATGACAGTGAGCAGCTGGAATCCCATGCACGTCCCCCACAGAGGGAAATAGTTCCCCATCTTGTTTGCCTGTGGTGGGGAGAGATACATAATAAATCTGCATACGAAGAGGATGCGTTTGTAAACGCGACAGGCAGCTTGGGATTTGGGAGCATCCAGTGTCCCTGTAGCAGTTAGGGGCCTCACTCAGGGGCCCAGAAGAGATATGTTTACTCTGACAGTCACAGGATTTGAGCCCATAACCTTCTAGATACAAGCACAGTTCCAGAACTCACTGCGGTTCACACTGCGCCATAGTTCTGAATAACAACCTGTTTCCTTGCAAGGGCTCATTACTCCTCTCTGGGCTCCAGTCACACCTGCCTCAGCTGCAACTGAAAGCTCTTGCTTTGCGATTGTCAGATTTAACCTGGGAGTGCATGTGATGTGATCACCAGTGCTTGGCTAATTGTGAGCAATCTGTAAAAAACACAACCAAACCAGCTGCATCATTTCATTATTACATCAATCATTACAATGTCATTACAATCATTACAAGTATTAAGAGCTGAGTAACTTGGTAGAGCCACTTGGTGGTGAACAACTAACAAATGTCCTGTACGTATGAGCTTCTGGTTTCATAAGGAGGACAAGCAAGGAAGGAAGGGAGCAGATGCTGTTCTGTAGAAGCAAAAGTACATCTTACACCCACCAGTCTAATCAAACAGTTGACAGATGAGTTGTTATTGTCACACGCCATAGCACCATAGCAAAATGTGTCCTCTGCATTTAACCCATACATTACATCTTGACATAGCAGGGGGCAGCAAATCCAGCAGTACATTACTCTAAGTCAGCAGAGGGGAATTTTATCCACAACAGGCCAGTGTGTATGCAGGTTCTTCGGATAACTTTTCAATTATAAGTGCATGTCCCTAAGCAATGGGCCACCACTGCACACATACAGACCAGCAGGCAGAATTACAGACATAGAAATATCACCGTATTCTGCCATGGACCTTTTATGTGTGTCAGGAGGTGTATAACCTTTGAAAAACTTTATCATTGCTACCAAGTGGAAACAATATGTCACAGCCGACCCTCATCAAAATAATTTATTTGAACACCCACCAGGCATGTCAGTGTGGTTTGGATTCACGTTTTCCCATATTTTGACTGAGCTAGCAAAAATCTGACACAAGAATCCAATGTATGCGAGGTTCTGCCCTTAATTGTCCTTCAGGTGCGAATTCTCGTAAATGGACTGACAGGAAGTGCATCACTTCCCTGTAGCTGCCTAGGAACTAAAATGTGTCTGGAGTGACAGCATCCTCACGTACATTTAAAGTTCACCCACCTTGAGTGCAAGCTGGAAGAAGACGCGAGCCGCTTTGGCATAGTCAGACGTGACGAGGTTTGCAGCCCCGCCAATGTACAGCATCCTGCGGGAGGAGGGGGGAGTCACCGGGCTCAGTCAGGGCTTGGAGCCCACGCCCTCTGCCCCCGTCTCAGAAATCCTGAGTCAGAGATTAACCTCACTAACCCACGAAGCTGGATGACAAAAGGCGAGGGCTGAGAGACGCGTTTCAGTGACATTATGCTGAAGCACATCATGGTCAATCACCAGTATTTATCAGGAATATAATTCCTCCCAGACGACATCTGCCTTCATGCAAGCGATTATAGGCTGCGGCTTCCGAATTAACTGATAGACTTTTTTGAGGGCTTGGAGAAGTTCAGTTTCCAATTTTTTAAATACATGAAACTGCAGGTTATGTAGATGAGAAAAAGCAACTTGAAAATTAAAAATCGGTCCTTCTGATGGAGACCTACCCATTTATTGACTTGAAAATCTTCTCATATTCAGCTTCAGACTGATTCAGCCTTCAGTGAGAAAAGAATGTACAATTTTGAACAACAGGACACCAAGAAAAACATATCTCTATCTATCTATCTATCTATCTATCTATCTATCTATGAAATCAATAGCCAAAAAATTAAATTCAAATCTATTACATATTGTTTATATATATATATATATATATATATACACACACACACACACACACACACAGAGTATCAAATAGATTAAAATTCATAGGCCTGTTTGAACACTGAATGTAACATTACATAATTATGTGGTCCATTTCGGACTTCCATTTAAACTCAAGACCATCCACGTCACGCGACAGTATTACATTTATGAATTAAATGCATATTTATTAATCGAGTTTTTACCTAATAGGCACAACTCTGCTTCCTCCTGATTCCAGATATTTCACATATGTAGCCGGAATGTAAGAATTTCCAAATGGTTGCATAACAGTTTCGTCTACTTCTTGCGTGAGAATTCCTATAATATAAAACAACAAACCGGATGCAGGGTCGTCAAATGATCAATCATATCTTTGGATTAAGTTAATTATTTAAGTTCAACAGGACCCACTCTGCCGATCACGTACCTATAATTGGTCTGTTGTTCACGGGCATCCTGAAGTTTCGAGTCGCTACAGTGTCGCATGTGACACCAAAACAAAGCAGCGCAAAGAGGCGAAACATCTTAAATAACCGTGAGGGCGCCACGGTTACGAAACAACCACTTACTGCAACCGTGGTTCAGATCTTGAGACATTTTATGTGACAGTAATTGGGGAGTGGCTTGTATTTTCAGGAACGAAAAGTACAACTTAGTTGTGTACATTCACAGAGAAGTCGGGAATTTCCCTGGCTTTTTTTGTGGGCGTTAGGCAGCAGTGCTGTAGTTCTCGGTAATGCTGTCCCCGTAGTCGTTTTTTTTTCAAGAGAAGGACGACCGAAGTGAGCAGTTTGTTCAAAAATGGAAATAATCTTGTCTTGTATAATGAGCAAACAAACAGAATGCAGGCAATCGCTGTGTTGACTGGATCTTACCTTAATAACAAACGTAATTCGCGACGTACTTATGAAATGCATGGACAGACACTGAGACACACATACACACACACAGGTTTGTAATTATATCTTTGTGGGGACTCTCCATTCATTTCTATTGGGAAAACTGGCTGGTAGATTAATCACAATCGACTGGTTGCAAAATGGTAAATTTATACACATATTCTGCAAATCATCTCGCAGACCCTCCCCCCCTTGTGCTAGGAGAAGCTATACATAGAATTAAACTTTTACCCCAAAACTTACTACTTTAATCTCAAAAGTCTATTTGACTTTCAAAACCTTTGAGTTTAATCTCCCCGGTTCACGCATCACCGATGACCTAGCTGGGTCCTTCCAATCCAACACAGTAGCCAAATCTGCACTCCAGAGACACGACTTCATGTATAAACTGCAGAAGTGTGGCATACAGACCTGGCGTCAAGGGGGGGGGGGGCATGGACAGGCTTAGCCTGCCTCGAGATACCTCAAGCCCCCCCCCCCCCACTGCACCTGGCCTGTCAGATGGGAAGACACATTTCAAACACTAAATAAATACATAAATATTGTATATACATTGGGGGCGGCACAGTGGCGCTGCTGCCTCACAGAAAGGTCCTGGGTTCGGTCCCGGGTCCTTTCCGTTTGGTGTTCGCTCGCTCTCTCCGTGTTCACGTGGGTTTCCGTCAGGGGCTCCGGTTTCCTCCCGCGGTCCAAAACCGTGCAGGGCAGGTAAATTAAATCGGCCCTGTGTGTGTGTGTGTGTGTGTGTGTGTGTGCGCGCCCTGTGGTGTGTTGGCGACTGCCCAGGGTTGGTTCCCGCCCGCGTCCCTTGTTCCCAGGATAAGCTCCAGTCCCTCCCACGGCCATAGTTGGGATTAAGCATTACAGTGATGGATGGATGGATACATTGCAAAAGTAAATAAATAAAAACCTGAAGTGAGATTATTCACTCCATGTTGATATTCACAGCAGTTTAATATGAAACAGGCAAAATGCTTTACTTGGAGGTGGGTGGAGACTGATTGGACAGATTACTGACTGACTAAAATCGACATTCAGCTCTTCTTACAGGTCAGTCAAGTTTGGTTTCTTAGCTTGCCTGAGATTAAAACATAGGCTTTATATGTTTGTGTTTTTGTTAGCAATCGCTAACTTTGTATTAGGCTAATACGTGTATGGTCTTATTTGTGCAAACTAAAATTATGATGTACAACATGAAAGTAGACTTTATGCTGCTTGTGCTGCCCATGGTTCTGACATGTCGTTTTGTCATTTGCTTCACCAGTGAGTGTCTGACAGTTGTTGTTTTTACATTGTCACACCAATATTATTAGTATTATTCTTGGTGAGTTAAATTACACCCCCACCCCATACTATGCATAACAGATCTGGGAAAATGGTTCTGGATGATGGTCTGCTCCCTCACGCCCTCACCGATTTCTACAGATGCATCATATATAACCATGAGGCTCAGTGGTTTAACCTATTGAAGGTTACATCAAATGGTTCTCAACTTGGAGCTGAACTGATGATCTTCAACTTAGAATGTCTTGTCCGTAAGCACAAGCAAGTCTGTTACTTCGAAATATCACCCATCTTCCATAACCATTTACGCAGCACAGGGTCACACTGATCCATCACAGGAAGCACTGGGCAGGGGTCACCCTTCAAGGGGCACCAGTCCATCACACAGCATGGTCAGCAATTCACCTAATTCAGTGCTACGCTGAATACGTGGTTCCTTTCAGCACAGTCACCTTCAACAGGTTTTATTGTCACACTTCCCTTGTATTATTCTGTATAGAAACAGAAGCACTAATAGACTGCAACAAAGAGACGCATTTGCAGGTAATGAATCCTTGTTGTCTTGATGGTTTTGATGTGATTTTCTAACTTCTGCTGTGGAACAGTTGAGATGTCCACAGAAATGCATTCAAGCGGGATTAGAAGTTCTTATTAATTCTCACACAAAGTACAAATTCAGACACAGCGATTTTCAAAAACATTTTAAAATGGCAATACGGTGTTCACAAAGAATTCATTCTGGCCAAACAGTTTACTTAAGTGAACTAGCTTATATAAAGTTTGTACTACTCATTATACAATCTCATAAATAAATGAAATATAATTTATTTATAAAAGGCAGGCCTATAGCTTTTAAAAATGATCTCAGGGGAAATAAATAGCCTACATATTACTCAAGAATTTAACACCCAGCATGTCACAAAAGTGCAACATATCAGACTAGCCAATATTAAAGCAGTAATACAATGATTTTTTTCCCCTTTACTTTTCGAATTCCCATGTACTTCTTACATAATGTGTGTTTAACCGGTAATAACTGCATCTGCAAAATTTGAAACGGGAACGGAAAACTGCACACAACTCTCACTCACGCTTTCTGACTCACGCTCACGCAAGAGATTTTACTGCAAATCTGTATTATTCCCTTATAAACCTAAAATTAGCTGCATCAAAAGCGCTGGGTAGTTTGCAAACAGTAGAGACTATTTGCAAGGTAATAAAACTGTTACATGCACGTAAATGATTGCGCAGACTCGTCTCGAAATGAAAATCTCACGACAGCCAGCTGACCAAAGTTGTCAACTCTGCATCAGTATGCAGGGCAAGTGCATTAGAAACTATAACCTCACGATTATAATATTACGTTTTCAGGCACAGATTAATATCCTATATTTTCCAAAGTCTGTATTTGCTGGATTTACGAAATGCACAAGGCGAGCTTTACATTCGCCGTCGTGCTGCATTTCTTTCGTCCAGTATGCCCTTAGATTCTACGGCCGTAGCGGAGGTTGGTGTCCAGCACGGTGAGCTGCCGCAGGAAGCCGCGGTTGGGGATGATGCCGCGCCGGTCCTTTACCGTCTTGATGGCGTCCACCAGAGTCATGTGCTCCCGGATCATCAGATAAGCCAGGACCAGCGTGGCCGAGCGACTAACTCCCACTGCACAATGTACCAAGATTCTCCCTGCATAGTCCCATGCGTGGTGGTCGGGCAAAAGGGAGAAGAGTCACATTTTAATAGACTTATTTAAAGTGAGTATTGAACTATCGATCTACAAATATACCTCTTAAGTATTTATGCAGTACATGATTTATTTGTAGCCTAGATTTACCCAACAAGCTCTGAATCACAACGAAAATACAACATGCAGCTATAGCCAAAAAGGCACTATAATATGTCACAACAGGGCAAAAAATATCCTATTTTAACATGGTTTTATTTCGAACATAGTAACAAATAGGAAATAGGAACAAAACCTCAGTTTAATGTTAATCATATTGCCTCAGCATAATTCAAATGAACATAACTTAGAGCAAAACTAAACACTTAAAGCGATTCAGTGTCTTTGAGGAAATATACACAGCTACTTAGCACGGTATGTTCTCTAATGGAAATTCCAGCCGGAACCAGAGTACCCTGTCAGCTCAGTGTTTACTGGTATGAAAAATGCTACTGAAGATTTTTTAACCAATAACTGAACTGGAAAACCCAAACCAACACACCAGTTTGGTCATGCAAATTCGTCTTTCATTTTTCCGCGTGCAAGATGATCATGCTTTGCACGCGTGTAGTCTGCAGACTCTGCACGCACCTCCTCCACTAAGGGCCTGGTGAATGAAGTCGGCCGCAGGGGTGAAGTTGACACTCATGTCGAAGGTGGGTGAGTCACGCGCTTCGATGCCAAGGTAGGTGATGCACATGCCTTTATAATAATCTGCACCACTGCGCCAGTTGCTGTGCGCACAGTTCAGGATATGGGTGATCCCAAGTCTCGACAACTCACTCCGACTTGAAGCTATGTCCCTATTTTGGAAAAAGTAAATTAAGTGCAAAAAATGCAATTCAAATACTCGCCAATAAAACTGAACAAAATAAATCTAATGAACGACTCGATAGTGCAATGTACCAGCAAAGCTCGTGCAGGCTTGCACTGGAGAAGCAGGTCACAACACAATAGAAAGAACTATTGTAGTTCTTTTATACCTCATCCCGTCCAGGGCCCTGCCTTGCGTCAAATTCGCATAACATCCCCTAAACAGGATACACCCGTGGAAAAAACTGAGACCACTCTATATTTTTAAATAAATCTGCATTTTTAAATCATGGTTTAATTGCGGTTCTGCTGGCAGAGGCTGCGCTGAGCAGCGAGATATGCTTTCTGGTTTCTAAAATTTCTAAGACAGCACTACACAGGAACTAGGTGAAGCAGGAGACACTGGGAACGACCAGAAACCAGCCAGGTAGCGACATTCGAATGCCAGAGATGGCCATTAACTTATCTGACAGTTTCTCATGATTCGCAGGATGACATCCAGTGACCTTCGAAAGTAATGGGAAACATTAAGTGCAGGTGTGAGTTGCACTGCTAGGACAGTTTGTATCAGGTTCCTAGAAGCAGGACTAAGATTCTATAAAGCAAGGAAGAAGGAAGAAGCCTTTCATTAATGAGAAACGTCGAAGAAACAGATTGAAGTTTGCAGAAATATATATATTATTCACAGACGCACACCCATAAATTGAAAAATGAGTGAAACAAAAAAATGTGCTGTGGTCTCTTAATTTTTTTCCGCGGCTGTATATAGTGACCAGGTGGATTCTATGCATAAGTTTTTCTTTTAAATGTGATTTTGGATATTCGATCTCTTCCACTAAAGCGATTAAATGAGCAGTAATTGTTTAAAAGAGGTGCTTAACACTCTGTACTTTCCGTGTTTAGATAACAAATCAACAGGGAAGTAATGCGAAGTGTCAGACGCAGCAATGCTGCCGTACTACTCACTGATCTCCCAGGTACAGGTTGGGCCAAACTTCGTCCGCGTGGTTGTGGATGCACTTCCCCGTATACAAAAGTTGCTCAAGTTCCAGAATTGTCATCACGGGTGAGCTGCCGGCCGACTCTCTCACGGGCAGAGACTTACTAAAACTCGACACGTAGGCCATTCGGCTATATTCAAGAGACGAGACTACGTTCAGTTAAAATCGTATTATCAAAGGAGTATTTTTCACAATTTTGTATTAAAGGAGCTAATCGTATACAGACATTATCTCTCAGATACATAGTAGTCTTTCGGTGTTGAATAATAATGGTGAAAAGGGTGAGTTCAGCACAAGTAGTACATCAGGCGAAATGGGACATTTAAGTTTCGGCCTATATGCTATACTTTAAAAAATCAACAACCAATGGAAACAAACAGTGCTAAAATCATGCTCCAATAGGGCTTGGCCTTCAGCAACTAATTCCATTGGTGTGACATTTTTATGATGGATGTGTTCAGAATTTCACGCTGTGTAGCGCAACCGCACAGCAAAAGGACCGACAAACGAAATAACTCTTTTTAAAGGTAAGGCTGCTAGAAGCATGCAATAATATGTATTGTTTAAAATGTTGTATTTCAGTAAAAGAGGACTGGAGATTGTTTTAAAAATAAAGCACAATTTTGAAGAAAAAAAAAATTATTTTTTTGTTTCCTTTTGTCTTTAATGCTGTCCCACTTTTGCTGAAGGTGCTATTAAGAATGGGACAGTACTTTTCAGGTAAAATCGGATACATTTTTACATGAAAATAATGTAGATCGGGGTTGCCCAACTCGCCGATCGAGATCGACCTGTGTTTCTAGGTAGATCACGATACGATAAAAGGAATAATACTTTGTTTCATTGGTGGCGAACCGGTCAATCCGATCGGCCGAAAATACGAAGGGAAACCCCCACCCCGCCCCGTCCAAATGTCAGCCAAATATACCAAGGAATGTTTCATGGAGATTTAAAGATACTCATGAAGTGAACAAGAACACAATTACTTATTAAGTAGTTGGATCTTGTAAACAAAGTGTTTACAATGACTTTATTTATGGTTTGTTTTCTTGGTCAATAAAATATTGCTTGTGCAATTAAAGCATATATTGCCTGTATACAAAAAAACCCATTGTCCTACTTTACCTGAACAAGCTCATCAAGAATTCAGAGGCGCCTTTCCGTGTGCTATCTATCCCATTTAACTCTTAAATATTACATAGAGGAGACATGCAGCTAATAGAAAAAAAGATTAGTTTGAGGATATGGGTTTCATGAGATTTACCAAAGTGGTCCACTTTCGCATAGATCACCGTGTATATTATATTTTACATGCACATACACGGACAAAAACATGTAATCAGCTAAAACCATGCATCAATGCTATCTTTATAGTGAACCAGTCCTCAAGTAGGCCATCTTTAACCGAATATAACAGATGACCGTGCTTTTTGCTTTCTTTCTGCGCTCGCCTTTGCACCCCACGACGCGCATTACCCCGTTAATGTCGCATTTTCTGCTGAAGTCCGCGAGCAGACGGAAGAAAGTTCCAGCAGGCTATGCCATCCCGGCTATTTTAGGCACTGTCCATGATAGGGGGTGCTTACATAAAAAAGCAGCAAGTCATGCCAACTGTGTAAGCTTAATGCGGTGATATCCTGTTTTGAGTTAGGTACGGCTAATTAAACCGGCTATTTGGCTAATAATGTCCATCCGTCAGTCCATCTTAAGGTCGTTTCTCCGACGCTAATGCACATTTGATTCTTCAGTTTTTTATGTAAAGTTTTCCTTAGATTCGATTAGACTCAATTTTATTGTGATTGCACAAAGTACAAACACAGAGTTACTAACTCTCACACACCTGGCGTGACACTTACGCTTTCAGACTTTCACGCAAGAACAAATCAATATTATTCCATTATAAACCTAAACTTAGCTACATCAAAAGCGTTGGGGTAGTTTGCAGACCCTACAGACTATTTACAAGGTAATCAAACTGTTACATACGTATAAATGCGCGCGCAGAATTGTCTCGAATTGAAAAATCTCATGGCAGCCACGTGACCAGAGTTGGCAACCCTGCGCTCAGACCACGAAATGCAGTTTTTCGTCTAATCCGAAAGATGTGAAGAATAAAGACAGAAGCGAGGAAAGAACAGAGATATATAAAAAGGAAGAGATATAAAAATTATCAATGAGTGGAGTAGATGAACATAACTTAAATAACTACAAATTAGCTAGAGAAATGCCTAAAGAGTGAACAGTCTATGGACTGGGGTGGAAGGAATCTCCAGTGATGCCGACCCTGGAGCGCTGCTGTTCATAAGGGGGATACTGGGGGGCACATGAGTACATGAGTGTGGATAATGGTGATTAGTCCAGTTACAGAGTGGTGTGCTGATTCTAAGGTCAGTGAGTCTGGAGACCAGTTTTCATGGGCTGACTGTTGAATGCTGACGTGAGATCCACAAACAGTAAGTATCTTTGGTGTCCAGGTGTGTCAGAGCGTAGTGTAATGCAATGGAGACAGTATCCTTCATTGACCTGTTAGTGTGGTAGGGAAACTGGTCTGGGGGTAGAGGACAGAATTGTAAACAAATTATTCATTTATTTTTGTGCAGTTCAAAAGCCTTTCTTCTAAACTTACAAACATCCTTCCCAAAATATCATTATCGTTTCAAGAAATAAACTTCAGGTTGACAGGAATCTATTTAACAATACATAACCTTTGAACATGATCATAAACTTTCACTACAAACATACTGCCATCTAGTGGCTAAAAAAAGCTACGGACTAGTTCTACTGTAAGTATTCTTATTGGCAAGGTGGAAAAGATGTTTCGATCGCAGCACATATAAGCAAAAATGTTTATTTTATACAATAAACAATAAAGCATCTCTATCGTCTTATCGTCATAATCTGAACATACATCACTTTTGCACTATTTTGCAATTTCAGATGCGATATTGCTTTTTGTAGTCTTGAGTAAAGGTGCAAAGATAATTAAGTGGAACATAAACTAATGATGCACTACTAGAGCAGGTGAGTAATTTCCCGACGTACCATCGGTGAGATTCAGAGGTTGGACCAAGTTCTCCTCAGTGATGTTGCTAAACGGAGCCACCATGCAGCCTCGCTGAATATGTGGTTCCTTTTAGCACAGTCACTTTCAACAGGTTTTATTGTCACCTTGGCTTGTATTATTCTGTACAGAAACTGCAACAGGTAATGAATCCTTGTTGTCTTGCTGGTTTCGATGTGATTTTCTAACTTCTGCTGTGGAACAGTTGAGATGTCCACAGAAATGCATTCAAGCGGGAATAGAAGGAGTTCTTATTAATTCTCATACAAAGTACAAATTCAGACACAGCCAATGATTTCAAAAACATTTTAAAATGTCGGCAATACGGTGCTCACAAAGAATTCATTCTGGGCAAACAATTTACTTAAGTGAACTAGCTCTTATATAAAGTCTGTACTACTCTTTATACAATCTCATAAATAAATGAAATACTAATAGCTTTTAGCAATGTACCACAGAGAAAATGATTTGTTTTAACCAAAATTTAAACAGCCAGCATATTTTAGTATTCCCATGCACTGTGTTCACTAGTGGTCAAAATTTTGGTAACACTTCCGATTTTTAGAGATTGCAGAATTTTATTATAGTTACTCCAGTTACTTATTTAATCGTAAAAAGTACGATATTGGTAAACATTCTTTGATTCTTTATAAACATGACTGCACAATATTCAACTAGTAATTTTATGTATTGTAATTTTTTAGTAAGTGTAATGCCAAAAATACTAGGTTTTCCCACAATTCCGACCACTAGTGTACATAAAGTGTTTAGCTGGCTACGATCGCATCTGTAAAATTAGAAAACAACAGCTTATATTTGCTGGATTTGCGAAATGCACAAGACTCGAGCTTAAATTCGCCACAGCTCCGTCGTGCTGGGCGTCTTTTTAAACAGGAACGGCACATGGTCTGTAGCGCACTGAAGAAGGCTTTATTCCGAAACATGCCTGTGTCTCTTTTTGTTATACTTGATTGCGTCAGAGTCCAGCACTCTGTCAGTTGTGTTATAGTACGAAGCCTGCAGTGCGACTGCGACAGTGCGTCCAGTCTGCCCTTAGATTCTACGGCCGTAGCGGAGGTTGGTGTCCAGCACGGTGAGCTGCCGCAGGAAGCCGCGGTTGGGGATGATGCCGCGCCGGTCTTTTACAGTCATGATGGCGTCCACCAGAGTCATGTGCTCCCGGATCATCAGATAAGCCAGGACCAGCGTGCCCGAGCAACTAACTCCCAATGCACAATGTATCAGGATTCTCCCTGCATAGCCCCATTCGTGGTGGTCGGGCAAAAGGGAGAAGAGTCACAGATTTATTCATTTAAGTACAGGGTAGATACATATTTGTTATCTGCTTTATTAAATTATCTATAAATACAGCTATGGAAGAAATTAAGAGACCACAGCACAGTTTTTTTGCTCATTTCTCAGTTTATGCGTCTCTGATATACACACACACTGCAACCTCTTTATTCTCGGTTTCTCATTGATGAAGGGCTTCTTCCTTGCTTTGTGGGACTTCGGTCCTGCATCTAGAAATATGATACAAACTGTCCTAGCAGTGCACCTTCCTTTTGAAGGTCACTTGATGTCATCTTATAATTTATGAGAAACTGTCGGATAAGTTGACGGTCACTTCCACCCTTTACCTGGCTGGTTTCTGGTCGTTCCCAGTGTCTCCTGCAAAAATTTTGAAATTTTGAACCTGGAAGAAACCTGCTGCCCAGAGAGGTCTTCTGCCATCAGAACCAGGATTAAACCAGGATTTAAAAATGCAGTTTTGTTTAAAAATAAAGAGTGGTCTCTTTATTTGTAGCTCAGATAAACCCTACAAGACACCGAATTGCAAAATCACAAATACAACCCAACAAGCATTCATGGCCAAAAAGGCACTATAATGTCGACAAGGAGGAGGCACTGACTACAGACCACCTCAGGGGTGAGAACCTGAGTGCAGCCATGTGGCAGGTGACACCTCAGCACCACACCAGTCCGAATGGACCAATGTGAGTTTTTTTTCCAATAGCTGGAGTGCCAATCCTGCCACCAACCCCCAAGTTTTTCCCTGTAGGTTGGAGGACCTCCTTATAGAGCTGGATGTAGATTAACATCATACTCAGGACAAAGCAATTGCAGGTTAAGGGCCTTTGCTCAAGGGCCTGACAGAGTAGAATTACTCCAGGTATTCACAGGATTTGAACCAGCAACCTTTGCAATTACTGGCATAGATCCCTAGCCTCAGAGCCACCACTCTGTCCTGGCAAAAAAATAAAAAATCCAGAACAGAGAAACCCAAACCAACAGACGGGGTTGTGCAAAACTCTTGTACTGCTTGTACTGTTTAGCGCTAATTCACATATTATTTTTCTATTGGAAGATGACTATAGTCTGCAGACTCTGCACGTACCTCCTCCACTAAGGGCCTGGTGGATGAAGTCGGCCGCAGGGATGAAGTAGACGCTCATGTCGAAGGTGGGTGAGTCTTGTGCTTCGATGCCGAGGTAGGTGATGCCTATCGTCTTATAATAATCCGCATTATTGTGGTGCTCGCTGTGCGCACAGTTCAGGATGTGGGAGATGCGCAGCCTCTCCAGCTTGCTCCGAAATGCTGGTATGTCCCTACCGTGGATAGAGTATGCCTCTTAAACGCAAAAAATAGACCATTCCAGGTATATGTCACTGAAACTAGACAGTACAAAACTAATAAACAACCACCAGTGAGGTAATAAGCTTAAATTGGAGACACACGTAACGTCACATGAGAAATTTTGTAGTTCCAATTTAATATGTCCTAAAGATTTGATAGCTGATTATTGGTCTGCCGAGGCCCCTGCCTTTGACTGTCACTTGATCTACATTGCACCCAAGCCCTACGGCTCCCCCTGCAGGTGGTGGGCCCACAGGACGACTCTCTCCATGGGTAGAGGCCCATGCCTTCGTGCTCCCTTCTGGCCTGGCTTCAGGGCGGGGCCCCAGTCTCCCCAATCTGAATGGGGTCACACTGTCCTTTTTGGCCGTTGTCACAGGGTAAATGAATAGTGCTTCATCTGGCTGCTCACCTAGGACCAGGTTGCCTTGGGAGACCCTATCTGGGGCAACTGGCCCTGACAACGTAGCTCATAGGATCACAGAGGTGAACTAATCCCTCCTGCAGGATAAGGTCCAAAAGGAACCAGTCAAGGTGGTTTAGGCATCTATCTAGGACGTCGAACCAGGATTATATCTCTTGTCTGGCCTGGGAACGCCTTTGGTATCCCCCAGAGAAGCTGGAGGAAGTAGGTGGGGAGAAGGAGGTCTGGGCATCCCAGCGTACACTGCTGCCCAATGACCCAATCCCAGAGAAGAGGCAGATAATGGATGGATGGAGACTATGCGTCATACCATTTTGGGTGTAACCTATCCTGTGCTGTCTGAGAGAGGCTCCAGCTTAATGGATAGAAGGTGAATTCTATACGTATGATTTCTATACTTATGATGGTCATTCTATCTTGACATTTTAAGCGAGTAAAGGAGTAAAGCAGTGGTGATTGTTTAAATAATAATAATAATAATAATAATAATGCATTTTATTTATATAGCACTTTTACATGAACTCAAAGACACTTACAGAGAAAGTACACAAAAAACAGATTAAAAAACACATTATGCATATGGAAGGTTAAATGCCTTAGCAAAAATAAAGGTTTTTAGCTTGGTTTTAAAATCTGAAACAGAGGTCGATAAACGGATGGCAGTAGGGAGTGAGTTCCAAAGGCGGGGAGCTAAACGGGAGAATGCACGGTCACCATAGCGATGTAATTTGGAAGGGGGGATGAGGAGAGAACCAGTGGAGGAAGATCTAAGACTGCGGGGAAGCTGGTAGGGTAGAAGCAGAGCAGTAAGATATGGTGGACCTTGATTATTAAGAGCTTTAAAAGTCAGAAGCAGCATTTTGAAATGAATGCGCTCTTTTACGGGGAGCCAGTGCAGGCTTTGCAGAACGGGTGTGATGTGTTGATAGGAGCGGGTGTGAGTAAGGAGGGGGGCAGCAGAGTTCTGAACTATCTGGAGTTTATGGAGAGATTTAGCAGAGACACCAGCGAGTAATGAGTTGCAGTAGTCAAGATGGCTAGAGATACAGGCATGAATGAGGGACTCGGCAGCAGAGTTTGAAAGATATGGCCTGATACGGGCGATGTTACGGAGGTGAAAATAAGCTGTTTTTACTGTGGCACGAAGGCGTGCGTCAAATGAGAGGGTTGGGGTCAAAGGTGACACTAACAGTTGCTTCACACTCTGTGTTTTCCATGTCTACACTGGTGGTCAAAATTGTGGAAGCACTTACATTTTTGGCATTACGCTTTAAAAAATACTACATAAATATTGGCGGTAATGTTTATAAACAATCAAAGAATGTTTACAAATATCATACACTGGACAATTAAATAAGTAACTGGAATAAAGTTCTGCAGTCTCTAAAAATGGGCAGTGTTCCCACAATTTTGGCCACTTCTGTAGATATATCAACATAAAGGTATAAAGGCAATGAGAACAGTCAGATGCAGCAATGCTGCCGTCCTACTCACTGATCTCCGATGTACAGGTTGGGCCAAACTTCATCCGCGTGGTTGAGGATGCTTCTTCCCGTAACCAGAAGCTGCTGAAGCTCCAAAACGCTAAGCGGAGGTGAGCTTCTGACTGACTCTCTCATGGTCAGAGATTCCGGATAACTTGACTCATAAGCCATTGGATTAAAGGGACAAGACTATGTTCGGTAAATAGGCTATATATTAGCAAGAACGTTTTTCCTTACAAATTTGTATTGAAAAAGCTAGTCATATAGACGCATTGTCGGTGATATTCACATTATTTTATCAATATTAGAACATTTTAGAAACATTATGACAACCTAACATATAAGCCTATGTATTGCATATTTTACACACATACGAAAGTTATTTTACCAGCTAAAAACATGCTGTTTTTAAGAATCAGTGCTACCTGCAAAGGAAACCAATTCTTAAATTGGCCTGTACGATGAATATAACAGATGACCGTGTTTTTCTCTTTCTTTCGGCATTCTCTTTTGCACACCGCAATGCACGTACCTGTTACCAGTCCCAGGTCAGATGGAAGAAAGTTCCGGCAGGCTACACTTTACCATCCCGGCTATTTTAGGCACTGTCCATGATCGGTGGTGCTTATATATATATAAAAAAGGAGCAAGTCATGCCAAGCTTAATGCGGTGATATCCTGTTTTGAGTCAGGTAGGGCTAATTAAATATTTATCTAATAACATCCATCAATCCTTCCATCTTCAGATTGCCTCTCTGGCACAGATAAGCTTTCATTGTTTAGTGTTTTTGTAAAACTTCGAAAGGTGACAGAATATCAACAAAATATTTATATATAAACACGCGTGAGTAAAAAATGTCAATTACACAGATTAAGCGTTTTGGTACTACCAAAATGGATTTATTCCTACCTGTTTTGGTATAACTGTCTCACAGTTAAGCTTCTACTATCGTTTCCTAAGGATGTTTCAAACAAACATCGCATTCACAGTTTACAGACAAAATACTATGCACAAGATGATTGAAGATTAAATACACAATTTACCAATTGCTATTTAAATATACAGATTTTACTCAAAACCCTTTAAAATGTGCGAAAAAGTATTGTTTGGCAGTGGTGCACTGTTACTGTAAATATATGTGTATTTTGGAAAAACATCTACATATATTGTATACATCAAAATACTTTACACATTTGTTTATTTTAAATATGTTTATTTTGAGGTATAAACTCCTCCTTTTATAAATGTAACAACCAAAACCTGCAAATTCATGGTGTATCCCTTACAGAGAGCGGGTACCTTCAGCAAGCCTTCAATAAATCCACAGTATTTCCAGCAAATGGTCCTCAGAGAGATCGGAAAAGTAATTCAATCTGGCTACATTCACACTCACACGTCACACTCCTCGCTTGGTACAGAATTCTGACGGGGTTTCTTGAACAAATACTGACACATACAACTGAACCGTAGAAAATGCCTTATAATATAGTTTGTCTTTTTCTGGTGGGGAAAAAAGCAAACAGGTGCAGTGGTTCCACTTCAATATATCCAGGTGTAAAATATAACTGTATCGAAACTTTGTGTTATCAAATTATCCGAAGACGAGTGTCATGGCCCTCGTCAGAGACGGATTACACAATACAAAGAACATCAAAGGTTTCCTTTCATGCAGAGCTACTGAGAGGACTTGTGATTATTTTCTAATAGGAAAAAGCACCTGCCAATATCATGGCACTAGTGTAAATAAACAAAAATATACGGGTGTTTTTTCTTAAATAAAATCTTATGTTACTATCAGAGCTATGACTTTGGTGCAAATAACAGAAAAAAGTACGATATTTTATGGACATTTGTTTTAGTCTCAAAAACGAAGCAGGGTTTTGCCCCACCGAAAAGGACGGTGCGTTTATGACGTCATTTAAAGGGATACTGGCAAAGCTACAGACAGCAGCCGCCCCTTCCAGTAAGGGACGGCTACACAGTGTCACTGTGTGAGTCACTGGCATAAATTCCATTTCTAATTGTTGCAGCATAGATGGGACCCGAACATTAAAAAAACATGAAATGAATGGACAGCAGCACACCTGCTACTGTGGTGTTTTGGGCTACATTGTCGCATCCAGTAACAGAGTCTGTACCACTCTCCTCTCACAATTTCAGTGGCAGTAAAGGTGAAGTAGGTGGTGCCCATCGATGACAGAGTACACTATGGTTTTATGGGGAGGGGGTCTTCAGAAGGCCTTCTTCTCCAGCCGATCGAGAATGCCCTGGATCTTCTGCACGGCCTCCTTCCGTGCCAGTCTGACAGACTCCTGTCCGTTGGTCTCCACAGAGTCCAGCTCCAGCAGTTCCTTAGTGAGCAGTTCTTCTAAACAGCGGTAACTTTTGTCTGTTTTGTGGCCCACAAATTCATCCACGTCCTCCTGCAGCAGAGACACCCGGGCCAGCACCTGCTGTACCCGCGCCAGACTGGGGTTCTGGCTCTGCGGGGGGCCAGTGGGTGGGGGCTCCCCCTGAGACTGCTTAGGCTCCTGTTCTTTCCCCATGTTGTACACTTGAGGAGGGGCACTGAACTCTCTTGGTTGACCAGGCCCAGGGTTGGCAGCCATTTGATTGGGTCCCATGGGTTGGTTTACAGGTACATAACCTGGATAGTGGCGATCCTGTCCAGAGCAACGAGATCATAAGGCAGATTAAAGTTCTGATGCAGATTAGCGCTATTATTTGATCAGTGCCCTTGTTTCAGAAAAATCTGCTAATTGGTTCCTAAAGGTGTAAAAGGCCAGACTATGCTTCCCTGTTTAATCCATCCATCAATTTTCCAAACCGCTTATCCTTCTGGGCTGCAGGGGGGCCAGAGCCTATCCTGGAAGCTACGGGCACGAGGCGGGGAACAACCCAGGACGGGGGGCCAGCCCATTGCGGGGCACCATGTTTAATCCTTGCTGGCAAAATTCTTTACATTTACTTAGCAGGGGCATTTATTTTAAACAACATACAAGTGAGAATCAGAGAGCAGGGACAAATCAGAGGGATTTGAACCGGCAACCTTCTGATCACAGGCAAGGTGTCCTACCCAGCGGATCACACCCCACTGCAGATCAATCAGGAGCAACACTGGCCTGTTAATACACACCTGAGGGTCATACTGTGACACAGAGGGAGCAGTCCAGGCAGCCGGGTGGGGTGGGATGAGGGGGTTCCCGTAATGGTTGTGCGCAGGTGGGGCATCGGGTTGCCACTGCTGCTGGGCCGTGGAGCCAAAGCCGGCTGTGTGAGGCCACGCATCTGGCTGCGGCCTTGCATGCAGTGGTTGCTGGGAAGGATATGGGGAGCTCTGAGGTACGGGGTGAACTCCATCGCCGTAATGTGCGTAGGGTGCTGGAGGATATTCGTGGGCCTGGAACACAGTCAAATCACAGCCACATGCAGGTGCCAGAGTTCCAGTGTTTTAACGAAAACAGCATGTAACTGAGAACAAGTGAAATTATCTTACAGTACCTAGTAAGAAAAAACAAAAATTCAAACTATTCTGTCAAAGACTAATTATTACAATATAATTCTACTTTTCATTTGAAATCTTACCCAATACATTTATCCAAAGTATATCCCACTTGTATCCATTTAAACTAAATATAGAAGCAGATAAGACAACTATACCTTGTAGGACTTCATCTGCTTAGTCACATCGCCCCCCTACAGTTTTACCTTCTATTTTCCCAAAATGAACCTGCAAAAAGTGAGTAACCTACCCTTTGACAGTGTGACACAGGGTAGTGGCAGTGCTGGGAGGCCAGTGGACCTGATGTACTGGTTCCCTGCTCAGTGCAGCCCTGGTTGGGATATGGAACCTGCCTGGTGGGTGGCTGGTCGGTACAGTAGAAGGGATTGGACGGGTGGATGAGTCCTGCCGGATACTGTCCTGGATTGTAAACAGCATCGGGGAAACCTGGCATTGTCTGAGGGCAAAAAAATATATATTTTTAGAATAAGAACATTATGTTGAAATACAGAAACACACAGAAACTCATTGTAAGCTTTACCTGTGGGTTGTATGGTCTTTGTCCATTGACCTCTGACCCTGAGGGATACGCACTGGAATAAGGCCCTGCTGTATGGGACTGTGGGTACCAGTAGTTTGAAGGGTAGCTGGGATACGGAACAGCTTCCTGCAAAGAAACACGTGAATATGCTTATCAAATGCCAGCTTAGGTGCTTAATATCAAACACTAAATTTACCGTTTTTATAAGACATGACTGTACGATGCTACCAATTTCTCTAATTCCTTGCCAACATGAATCTATTTTAACATCCTGGGTTTATAACTGCATAAAATGTTGTTAGATAATCGAATTCAACTTTTTATACAAGTAGTCACACTTTATTGTAAAAATTAAAGTAAGAGTATATCGCTATAATAATAGTGGTATACTGTACGTGATCAAGAGGTATGATGCTGACAGAGTACTACTTCCAGACACTTTTTCCCCTTTGACACGTTTTGAAGACCAGATTAGATGATCGAGCTGGCATTTGCGGAAGGGCGTTTAATATACTGATAACTGTCAAGGTGACACAGCAACGAGACCGATCGTGCACAACAATTTACTAATAAAGAGGCAGATATTAAGTACTTTGACCAAAATAAATTAAAAACTGGGGGGCTCTATTCATTAGTGTTCATTTGCGGTATTGTCGCAATATGCAAGTAATACATTAAAACAGGATGCGGATGTTACTTAACTGATAACTCAGAATGAACCTTAAACAAGCTAAAATGCATATACATAATTAATGGTTATCTTACCCGGTTGTCGGTTACCATTGAGCTATTCCAGTTGTTATTTTCTGAGTTGTTGTAATTTGTAGGCCAGACTCCCTTCGGATGTGACTGCATTTGATGCATAACCCAGGGAGAGTTTACTCCACTTCTGTCGTTCCGAACCGAGTCGTACGCCATTAAACCCTGATATCAACGTAAATGCACCTTATTTAGACTCCCAGCTATTTTTTGAGACCAAAATCAGCTACAGACGTTAGTAAACTAAGTCAACCTCGACAAAATATAGGAACCATTTTGCAATGACACTGCACCTTTAAATCTCTAAGGCTCGGTTTTTTTTCCGCTTGTCTACCGGACAGTTTACATAACGACACTCCCTATTTGCGTCAATGAACATTTTTCCCTCTAGCGAATCGGCGCGCCTATGTTAGAACAAGCCCCACCCATGTCTGAAAATAGACCAATCGTTAACAAGTAAATTAAGGATCACGCGACGATATTGCTAGGTGATATTTTGTTGCTGAGAGTTTTAAAGGGGAAGTTCACCAGGAACGAATCCTTTACCCTTAATCTGAAAGGTTTACAGAACATCTGCAGCTTTGCGCTGTGCTTAGGCGACCAATGTCTGAAATAATCACTATATTGAAACTATCTTGAGGGGAAAAAAATAATCAAACAATCGCTCCTTAATCCTGATCCTAAAAACCAATGCGTCGCAACTAAGTAACTAGGCTGGAGTGAACATTTTTTTATTTATTTTTTTCAGTCTTTGTATAAACATTTTTATTTACTCTAAACACTTACATGAACAAAACCTCATATAAACATGAAGAGTCTGATGCAGCCATAAGCTAAAACTGCCTCTGATATTTGATTCAAGGTGGCTATTTATTCTGCAGAACATACTCAAGGCAGCATATGAACGAAGTTTACGTCGGGTGAACTTACAAAAAATAAAGACTTGCATACAGCACAATGGACATCAATTTATTACTTAACTAAATACTCGTTTAGGATATTGGGTTAATTAAATAACCAGCATGTAATATTTTATTGTCTTCAATCTTTGTAAATAACACATTGTCAATTGTGCCTTAAAAATATTGAATTTTAGCACACAATGAAACTTAAGAACGGTTGAACAAAACCCATCACCCAGATCAGGTCATGAAGACTAAGATTAAAAGGCCCTTAAACACATTTAAAAATCTATCCAATTCCTAAGGAAAAAATACCAGTTCTAGAAAGACCTTTTTATTAATAATAATGAACAATATTATAGCATATCAACAAAGGAACTGTCATGCAATACATATAACAGTAAGAAAGCCAGGGATGGCCCTGAACAGACCTATTCAACAGGTCACCTTACCCAGTGACGTAACAAAGGGGTTAAACTCATAGCGGAAGTCAAGTTTGTACTTCCTGTGTAGGAAGGGGGTACACATTTGAATGATTCATGGCCTGAAAAAGTAGACATCGCACATATTTAACGATATATTGTTAAATAGCATCGTGCGAATATTGTTCTTCATAATGAATTACATGCCAGGGACAGCTAGCCTCATTGAGGATATTGACAGTAAGTGAATAGAATAATTCAGTAATACATACTTGCTTAAAATTTTTGTGAAGCACACTTCATCCTATGGTTATTCAGCTGGCTAGTTTGATTAAGTTGCATTTGCTTTTTCAGTTTGTGTTAAGTATACAAGGTTTGTCTTTGGGGCGTACGCCATTTAACTGTTTTATTTATTTACTTACACTGTTTGCTCGTCTTACATTTTCCGAATCTTATCTATCACGTCGAGAATAAAAACAACATGCAGACCTAAATTGTGCAATAACATTACCGCATCAACTAACAATTTAAATGAATAGTGAATGTTTTTAACCGTGATCGACCTGTACCTCATCGTTTTTTGTGGTCACTTTTCTCAGAGAAACATCTTGTTCTTCTTCGAGATGGAAGGACACTAATCGGATTTCTAAGAAGTATCGACCAGTTTGGTATGTAAGTATACATCAGAGAATGATATTCAAATAATGTGTTGGTGTATTATAATCAATCAATAATTTAGATTTTGTTGCTTATTTTTAAAACTGGTAATTCAGCCACCCTGGAATTAATTGAATGTACTTTTCGATTTCTTTACTTATCAGTATAGTTCACGTAGTTTAACATTTTATTAATTTACTTTATGCTGCTGAAATGTAAAGCCGTTTGTGTCTTTTTTTTCCCACAGCTAATTTAGTTTTACATCAAACTGTAGAGCGCATCCATGTTGGGAAAAAGTATGGAGACATTCCCAGAGGAATCTTCATTGTCAGAGGAGAAAATGTTGTTTTGCTTGGGGAAATTGTAAGTCGGTTCTTTAATGTTGCCTTTATTATTTAACAGTAGCTTCTGTGGTTTATAAACTACAGCATTGTAAATGTAAACATATAGGAGAATTTACATAAATAGTTCTATGATGATAACTCCTAAATATGTTCTTGAATGCTTTAAGTTCAAATTTTAAAATTAGAATTTAGACATCAGTGGTCATTGTTGGCACACCACAGCACACAACAACGAAATGTGTCCTCTGCCTTTAACCCATATGTGACTTTCATGACACAGCAGGGGGCAGCTAATTTAGAGCCCGTGGAGCAGTGCTTGGGGGCAGTACCTTGCTCAGGGTACCTCAGTGGTGCCTTGCTGGTCAGGGACTCAAACCTGCAATCTTTCAATTACAAGTGCGTTTCCCTAACCATCAAGCAACCACTGCCCACAAAAGCTGAGTTTCAGGCAGAACAGGGAACATGTGATTCACAAACATGATTCGGTGAAGCCAGCTCCATGAATATTGTGATGTACAGTACTGTGCAAAAGGCTTAGGCAGGCAAAGAAAATGATGTTTAGATTATCCTCGTGTTGGTGTAAAACTATGATATTATGCCTGTCAAAGTGTGTCAGCTTAGCCATTTCAGAACTTCTGCTAAAATCATCCCAGTATTTGCAGCGACCGTCCAGTGCAGCCAGTATTTATTGACTTGACCACTAGCACACCTCATACAGCGAGTCAATCTGTCACTGACTTTTTAAACCAATTCATTTAATTATTTAATTGAGCTGTTGGTGAAATTTAACAAAATCATGGAACGGCTGAGGTGCCCCTGAGGAGAGGTTTGGGAACTGAAGCCGTGTTCATCTAGCCATCCAACTAGATATCAGTAACTTTTTAGAAAACAGAAGACATTACTAGTTTTTATTGTGTTCCTCTAAATTTGCACATGTTCTAATGTTAAATTGTGTTTTTTGTTCTAAGCCAAAGTACACTTGTTACTCAGATAAACAGCTTTAAACATTTCTTTGGACTGCCTAAGACTTTTGCACAGTAGTGTATATAAAATCAGAAACTGTGTTGAAGTGAAATTCTGAGATAGGATCCCTCTACTTTGCAAAGGCTAAAGTGTTGTTCTTTTCTAGGACCTGGAGAAGGAGAATGACACTGTCCTGCAGCAGGTGTCCATTGAGGAAATTCTGGAGGAGCAGAGGTTACAACAGCAAGCTAAGCAGGAGATGGAGAAGGCCAAGACGCAGGCCCTAAAGCTGAGAGGACTGTCCATCCCTCGAGTTGACATGCTAGATGAATACTGAGAATCTCTGCTGTAGGGTTTTCGTTTTTAAAATTGGACTGAAGCTCAACCTGTAAATGAAAGTTCTGGGGGGAATGAGAAGACCAAATGAACGAATTGGACATTTCTTTTGATGGAAACAAAAGATCTTGCATTGATGTTTGGACAGTGGTTATACACATCTGTTTTTTATGCTACTTCAGGTGAGGACAACCTTTACAGACAGAAGGTTTTTTTGTTTTATTTTCCTTTCGAGAGGCAATCAAAATCAAGCCTTTAAAACCAGAAATTGAATTAAGTGTGGCTTGTGTAAATTGTTGCTCATGTTAAAAGTAATCCTGCAGATGAGAACACAATACTGTCAAAAGTAGGGTAGGGAGACACAGGTTGTATTAAAGATGTTATGCACCTCTCTGGGAAATGGTATACTTACGATATTTCTATGAATTTTACTTCTAACTGCAACAAATACATACTACAGTTATCTGAGTTTTTATTGCAAACTGGTGCTGTTCCTGCTTAATTTATCATGGACTGTGCAGATGCACATGTGCACATGTAACATCAAGCGCTTTAATTGAAAGGAACGGAATATATGGTTTGAGATCTAAGTCCTGGCCGTGACTTGATCTGCATATTACAGTTGGTTCAAAGGTATACTTGTATTGATGATGTAATTTTTTTTTTTTTTAATTTTTTTTTTTAAAAGTCAGGACTGCAAATGATTTTAGATGATGGTCTGATAAATGTATGGAGCTTGGTGCTCGTCTTAAGTGTGAAGCACAGTTACTGAGAACCTTCCGTATTTATGCTGAAACATGCGTCCACCCAGTCCAAATGCTGTACAAGAGCGTTCATCATCTTCCTTTTTGCTCGGTCACTGAGTGTCGATTATAGTTACTGCAGTGTTGTGGCAGTCAGGGTCCAGCCTGATTCTGGCTAAAAGTGCCACGAAGATGTTTGTTCGGTAACGCTTTACATTAACTGCACCTTCATAATGCTTTTATAATACAGTCATAAAACGTTCAGTACACCTTCATAATGTATTCATTAAGTATTCATAAAACATTCATAAATATCATGTATGTATACCTCAACATCTAACATCCCTTAGCTGTAATGTACATTAATAACAAACATTATAATTGTATAATCATGTAATGTTTATTAATGTATATTATAGGATGTTAATGTGTACTTGCATGATCGTTATGAATGCATTATGAAGGTGCACTGAATGTTCTATCAATGCATTATGAAGGTGCACTTAATGTAAAGTGTTACTATTTGTTTTTTATGCTGCCTTGACAATAATTCATTGGCTTTCCCCTACAACATGAGTCCTATTTCATTATTTGAACGTGTAGAACATGTGATGTTGAACATTATTCATTTCCAACAACCTTCTTGTTTTCCATAATGGCTTAAAATTGGGTGGGAAATGTAGAAGAATGTTGGTATGATTGAGTACCGATATATGAAATGTATTGAAAACTGTGTTACTTGTTTTCTGCCAGGAGGGGGCGCATAAATTCTCAGTTCAGTATTTTACATCATCATAAGTTCCAGGGTAAAGGGGTTCTGGTTAAATGACGTCACTGAAGCTCCTTACTATTACATTAATTTTTAAAATTTCATCTCCCTTTACTATGGTGCAATATAGTAGTGAACTTTATAAAATATACATCCGTGGTATATTTGTACATGCAGCTTTTTAAAAAGAAGCTCGCGATCCATAAAAAATCTTTGAAAAAAGTCTTCATAATATTTGTCCTAAATTCTCGTTCACAATTTAATAAAGTTCCATAATATAAAAGCGTATAAGATCCTAACATTTAGTGCTTTTCCGTGTAATATGCGCATTTATTTGTTAACGTTTAAAATTCAGTTCTATCCCTACAATATTTATATTAACGGTAAACATGTGACAAATGATGTTCAGTATGATACTGTTACTTGGGGAAAATGCTAATACTGTAATGGATCATTATCCTTAAGTTCATTATTGTTGAACTTAACTGTTAAATAATTTTCGTATTATAGTTTAATTTTGTAAATGATTAGCCAATAATTGTCTCCACAGGACTGGCCTATGTGTCGCCTGCTTAAAAAAAGCAGTATATTGTTTTGCGCAGAATTATGAATCCATTTGCCGTCCACCAGGATCCACCTCCCAGCCCCCTTGGTATTGTGGAAGGTGGGGGCGTTAAAATGTAATGCTATCAGATGTCTTTGTCAGCCAGACGTGCCTCTTCTCTCCCCGCCCGTGCGTCAGGGCTAGCCGTGGGTACGCCTCTTCCGACCGTTTGAGGTACGGTGGTAGAGCACAATACGGGAGTCGCTTTGCTACAAATCCGTTTTTCCTAACCCGACAGCTTATAGCACTGCCCCCGGTCATCCGCTTCTACGAGGATGTGAGATGGTACCTGTGCGATCCAACCCAAAACCTGAGCAGAGCCACGGGGAAAGCCGTCTGGATCCTCGCCAAACCCCAGAACCGAAAGAAGAAACCCAACCCTCCTTTGATTACGCACCGAGAGGGGGAGCACGTTGATATTGTGACAGCCGGGAGTGTACTTTACAAACTCCCTTGTGCAAGGGCTGGAAGCTACCCTTTCTCGTCAACTTTAAGGGGAACACATTTAAACGTAGCCTTTTTATGCTGATGCTCACTTCTAAAATTGATATTTTTAACGATACGCACGGCCAAGGTGCGCTGAAGACTAGCATGTTTTTGTCTAGGAAATGCTCAACCATCCCGAAATTTGGAACAGACAATATGAACCATGATTAAACTACCGGAATCTCCCGTTGCTTGTGCCCAAAGCTGTTCGTCGACCCCAGATCATCTTGGCAGCCATCTGATTTTTAATTGTGGAAGTAGGAGCCGGAAAACATCTTACTTTTGACCATTAACGAGGAACGAATCGGGACACGGTTTGGGCTGATACGTTGGGGTTTGATTGTAACTGTATCTACTTTCCGTCATTCGCGTCGACATCCAACGGGAGTTTGATGGACCTCGAGAATATAGTGGCAAACACAGTATTGCTTAAGGCCAGAGAAGGTAAGGAGAAAGAAATCACACATGCTACTCATAAATGGCATTAAGTTCCAGCAGTGATGTCTATGTTCAGTTTACGAAAGACTCGACGTATTCATTTTAGGAGGTACTGAAGTGTGCTGGTAGTGTTGCGCTCTAACTCCAGAAAATGGGACCTGCTGCCCAGTCCGATCGCTGATGTGCTGAGCAGATTTATCTGTGTGTCATGCCTTGTACAGCAGAATCGCTTATTGCAGTCATGCAATGTTCAGGCCTGTAGACATATAGTAACGTCTGACAGCTCATACGTGTAAAGACAGTCTGATTCGGGGCGAGAAAAATACACGCTCCCACATTTGCCCTCGCTAAGCAATGTGGGTTAATTGCTTACTTGTGATGTTTAGCACGTATGTAATTTAAAATAAAGATCGCTACACGCAGTCACATCACCTACTTCCTGTATTACGTTATGATTAAATGAAATATATGTGCCTTATATGTTATCACTGTTGACGGAGCCTGGTCCAGTGGTGAACAGGGTAATACGTTTCTACAAAAAATACAATCTAGTATATCACAAACAAAAGGACCTAAATTATCATTAGATCTAGCGTGAATTTTATTGAGTGAAAACTGTGTAATGAACGTTTTATAGTCTCCTTTACTAGTACCGACCTTCTGTTTTATTGCCTTTTATTGACAGCGGTCCTTCATTTGAAAATACAGCATGTATTAGATACTCTTACGAGGAACGAAATTATAATTTTTTTCTGTTAAATTTGCCTTCGTTATAGTTACTTCGGATCATGTCTCCAAGGACCCAGGCGCCGTATCTTGCCACCTGGCATCAAAGTACAATAATCCTCCCGTCGATTCTGCCATACAGTACAGGGTCATGTCAATAACAGAAATACGGCATAAATATTTATGCTTAAATGCATAGGTCCACGTACTGACATTTAACTAATGATTTATATTCGCAAATGCACTATAAATAATTAAAACAGATAACGAAGTACAGTTAACACCCAATTTTAATACATTTATAATGGATTGACATTTTGGTTAAGTTGTAAGCGTATCATATACCCGAGCAGACATTTCCTCCACAGTACTTTTTTTTTGCAGCTAAATTTAATGAAAGCAAGATGACATGCTTTGCAATTCATCCATATGTAAGCCTCAGTATCTAAACTCATGTTACAGAATCAGTAAAGAATGTGCTCCCTCTTAAAAACATCCAGTGTCAGACACACTTTCTTTCATGCTTTGCATAGTGCAGTCTGGCCACAGTAGCCACAGTATTCAGCATTGACGTATGAGGAGGGTTTGTCCATAGACTGTTCCAGAGGTTGTGGCTGAATATTATAATGGGCAGACTTAGAGAAAGGATGGAAACGGCAGTGGCGGTGACCTGCTTTAACAGCCTGTCGTACTTCCTCTCCGTCCGCGAAACTTCACCCAATGGTTTGACTTCTCAAAATGGACCTTGCACACAATGTGCAGTTAGATGTCCTTTGAATGGTAGTGTATCATGTAGCATGTTACCTGAAACCCACAGATTAAAATGAGTTACTCCTTGGCTGTGATTGGTTTTTGTAGTCTCCTGTGTATGGATGGATTTAATTCCTTCCTTTACTTCCTTTTGCACAGCATAGAAGTTTTACACTTACTGAACTTAACATAACTTGAATTTGAATTTGAACTATGTATATCGTACAGAGTATAACTTTCTGTGTGTACTATACAGAGTGTACATTTTGCAGTGAACAATACAGAACTCACACTATAATGTATACTAAGTAATGTATTGAGTGTGCCTTGCAGAGTACACTTTTTAGCACATACCCTAATGAGTGCACTATACCAAGTTTACACTTCAGTGTGCACGCTATAGAGAACACAATAGTATATTTGATCAGCATTAATGTGCTTGGCCACATCACTATTACCGCAGTATCACTTCTAACTTTGCGCTTCCTCAAGATAAATTTGATCAGCGTCAGTGCTCTGGACTAGATCAGTATTCTTAGAAAAATACCACAGTATCACTTCAGACTTTGGCTGTCATCATGATGAATTTTATTGGCATCAATGCTCTGGGCCACATCAGTATTGTTGGAAAAACATTGGGCTTCCTCAGTTTAAAGCATCTCAAATAACATGTTCTTAATTGGGGCAATATCAGGGTGCAACTCAAAGCAGTTTTACTGTGTCCAGTAATTAAGGCACATGTGAAGGGTCAGAGATTGGAATATGGAACAGCAATGAGAAATGCAACTATTCCCTAATTGTTTTACGCCGTCATGTTTCGTCCTGAAAGTGGCTACAAGACATGCAGGTAAATGTCCAAATATTCACGTAGATGGAGATAACAGGAGAGCATAGTTTATCGTGTACGTGACATGTTTATGCTGCTTGTCTGACATTTCCGAAATCTTTCAAATCCCAGCCAGTCCAAACTAAGTGGAAAACCACAGAGGTCCTTAATCTCCTGCTAATTATGATCTTGAAATAAATTGTATTCAACCCGCCAGCACCTGTGACTTAGATACCTCGATGGACAAATGCAAAGCATCAGATTAGTCTCTAATTTGTTTTATTTATGCAGTTATATGATTATGTAAAGCCACATACCTATCTATCTATATATATACTGTATATATAAAAGTACTTTGGCCCAAATGTAACACTGTATGCCAAAGGGACTCTATGTACAGAGGTAAATGCCGGTGGTTCATA